AATTTTTTCAGAACTTTTTAGTACCATATTTTCTCATGTTGATAAAAATAATTGCCAATATATATATAACATGAGAAAATATAGTACTAAAAAATTCTGAAGAAATTCTTAGAACTCTAGAAAAAAAAAACTTTTGTCAGCTTTTATTTCCAATATTTTTTTCATAGTAGCAGAATACATATACAATAGAATATTTTAAAAGGACTTTCACTTCTTAAAACAACAATAACCATTAAGTCACGATAACGTTAAAATGACATTAAAATGAATTGAAAATGATTGAAAAATGACTTAATGATCTATTTGGGAATAATCAATTCAAGGCTAAAAAGAATCAGAGTGGGAGGGGGTGCGCAATTATACATTATTGTAGAATGATGATTTAACTCCAATTTTTCCTGATGTCTTCTTTGTTCAAAGTATTGAACGTTTTGACTCTAACAGTAGAGAGTAAAATTTTTACTGATATAATTTATTTAAACATGGTAAATAATATTTAATAAATTAAGTTTTTGTTAGGTGCAAAGTATATATTGGAATTATCCTATGTATAAAAGAGCTATAATTTTTGTGTTTATACTAATTATATAGATACTTTCAGAATAACGTGATTAAATTTTCAAGCCATTAATGTAAATAATTATATTAAAATAATTGTTTATATAGTTGTTTTGAATGTATCATCAACAAATATTTCTTTCAATCAGCCCAAGCTGTTTTGCACAGTAACAGGAAATATTTCATATCTTAAAGTTCTGGTAGAAGAACGTTTAATAACAAAATAATATTAACGATGAAAAAGTTAGTAGACATACATGTCTTTTCAATATAAAATTGTATCTTCTCTTGTACCTTTTCGAAATATAAAAAGATCAATAGTGTGGTGGAGAAAATAATTGAGACCAGTATGTCCTACCTCATTGCCAGATTTCGCGAAAAAATTAAAAAGTGAACAATGGAAAAATCTATTGAAATACGGAAAAATCTATTAAAATATTATGATATAAAACGTTTTCTAAGTTGCATCTACATCTTTTCTAAAGCATCTATATCTGTAATAATTAGTATAAAAAGTTATGACTCTTTTACATATATAATTATTTTCTAATATATATTTTCTATTAAAGGGAATACCTTTTGTGTGCATTATTATGGAAAGAAGAAAATATGAATAACGTTGTTATATTACAATATATTTTTAATAAATTAGTATCAGCATTACGTCACAAATAGTAATGATCGATTTCAAAATGCACGGTCTAAATTTTAGTAATTTGACATTTCGGGACATTTAGTTTTCAGTTTTCGGGATTATGGTTTTTCGGGGCATTGCATGTCCAATAAACTTTGGCAAAAAGATGTAAAATAAGTATACCGAAAAAAATATTAAATTTTAGTGAATATTTTTTTGAATAGTTCTAAATAAATATTTGCTAAATATAAACATATATTGATTTGATATAAAAACCATTAATTCGATTTAATCATTATTTTTTTTAATTGAGTAAATATCTATTTAAGTAAATGTTTATTTAGTTCTATTCGAAAAAATATGCTGCATTAAGATTTAGTACATTTTTTTCCAGTGTAGAATATAAAGGAAAATAATGACAGAAGCTTCTAAAAAGTGAAAATTGAGACAATGAAACGTAAAAAAGACACTCGCGCTTTTTAAATGTTGTTGTTTAAATTTTCGATTTCTAGAAGTTCCGTCTTTATCTTACCGTCACTCTTTCCTTCGACTTAAGCGGCGTCTACAATGAAATTTTAAGCCGTAAGAAATTGGCTAATTATAGTCGAATATAGAGAGAATAATTAGCTATGAGTTGTCAATTTCTTATGACTTAAAACTTAAAATTTACGTTTTACACCTCAAAATCTCATTGTAGACGCCACTTTACATTCCAATTTTCATTTTCGCCAGGGAAAAGATTTCCTTTATTCTCTTGTCAATTCAGACAACACGCAATATCTATAGAAGACGTCTTGATGATGTCTTTTAGATATTTTTTAGACATATAAGTCTCAGAAGACTTTAAGAAACTTAAAAGACTTTTTATAACGTCATTTAAGAGCGGTCTCGCCAATTCCGATTAACCTAATCGTTGATTAAGTATCAACCGTGATTAATCAATTCTACTGAACAGCAAATGCAATTGGTCAATTCCAATGTAACAATTAACCTTTAGACAGGCATATTGTCTGAGAAAATATTTTTAAAATTATGTATATAGTCGTTTCTTCCATCTCTAGGTCGCACCCAATATTTTTTCTGCAATTAAAAATGTGATGTAAAAATAATCTTTTGTAGAAAACACACGACATGTCGTCCCGAGTGACAAGAATTGTGTTCAAAAAAACGCATTTGCATCGAGATAACATGGTGAAACCAAATATAATTGCGTTCGCGGCAGCGAGATGAGATTCGCGCCGTTTCATCGTTTTCATCAATGAAACCGCTCTTGCCACGTATCAACAGGCGTCCTTTAGTACGCAGAGGAAACATCGATCCGTTCCTTCGGGACCAACCCCTTCCACGAACTCATTACATTTCGCGTTGTACAGGGTCGTAGCGCGCGAGAGGATCGTCGTGCTGTTAAAACGCTCGATCGCGCGATTAATTCGCAAATGTATCTACAATACTAATCTCACCCCTGAGAATACACCGAAACATTGTAAGTGTGACATTAATTTTAATTTTCTTTCATTGATGCCCGGGATGCGAAGATTTGCTTAACTTTGTCGCGATAAATTGCGTGACTTGGAATTTACCTCTGTCTCTCACGATTACTGAAAATTCAGCGTGAAAGTGATGCAAACATCTTGCTTGTAATTTAATGTTTATACGTAGTTGTTTCCAATAGTTATCCATAGAAACATGCATAAAGTAATAGTAATTTTATATTAGGATTTTCCCCTCAACAAATGTAATTGTATAAAATACATCAATTGTAATTTAATTTGCTTTTAATAACATATAGATATATAATATAACTCATGATTATTGCATATCGATTAGTTTGTGTTCTACGAATTACTTTTATTTGCATAATTATTTTTTTAATGGGAGAATCGAAAAATATATCTTAAATAAGAAAATTTTTATTTATACAATTTACAATAATATTAATATAAAATATAAGACTGTTTTATATTATAATTATTTTAAAGATTAATGTCATTCTGAAAAATGTTAATATTTCTAAAACAGTATCTTAATCTGATTGGATAAATTTACTTATCTCTTGGAACAATCCAAAGCAAATTTAATGAATAATATTTAATATATGATATTTGATAAGAAACGAATTTATTATTCTCTCTCTTTAATATATTTTATAAAAGTAAGCTAAATTTTTGTTTACTTCACAATACGATTTAATCTGGTGCTATTCGCAGCATCTCTTTTCAGAACATATTTTTAAACATCCTTTTTCCTTTCACCTATCAAAGATGCGTTTATTGCTCTCGTTCGGTACTTTTACTATTGAAATCTATAAATAAAATACCTTTTTGCAGCGCTGCTAGTTCGACTAATTAATTACAAGCTTGTCGTAAAAATAGAGTAGTCAAGAGTCGTTTAGTCCAGGACATGCTGTCGACATGA